GGGGTTTACGGGGTTTACGGGGGTTTAGGGGGTTTAGGTGGTTTAGGGGGTTTAGGGGGTTTAGGGGGTTTAGGTGGTTTGCGGGGTTTAGGGTTCAAGGGTTTACAGGTTTGGAGTTTAGGGGTTATCCTGCATAGGAAAATGCAGGAGTGTAAGGTCTAGGTTTTATGGTTTGCTGTTGCCATTACCCCACTATGGATAATCAAGAGGATAAAGAGACTGGAACATCAAATGGAAACTGGGTCTTTGTAGGGGGAACACTGACGCTATGACTACCATGTGTGTGTATTATGTGGTTGGGTTACTAAATCTTCTTACCATTGCCTACTTATGCACCACAATACGGGAGAGTAAAGTTCAGAAATTTCCCTAAAGCTAGGATCTGGGTTTATGATATATGTATACATGTATATGCGTCTCTATATGTAAATCTCTCCTATTTGATAACTTGGGCAAACTCCTGCACGGGATTTAGTTTGATTTTTGGGTTTAGAAAGCTATCAACGGCATCCTAGTCCAGTCAGAGGCATACAGTAGTTGTTTTCCGTGTAGTGAATCAAGCGGGGATGGAAGACCGTCGGAGACATTGAGCCTTTAACCAGGATACGAAGCTGATTTATGAAGGGTTTCCAGCGAGCAGTGCAGAATGTTGAGCCGGGTTGCTTTACAGGAAGTTAAGCTTGCTACCATTACGTGAGATGGTCTAGGTTCCTAAACAGCAATCCCGTGATTGGAGAAAAGTGTGAGGGAGCCACTACGGGTTGTTAAGCGACAGGGTAGCTGGACTAGTAGTCGTGACAGTGGCCATGGTATTGCGAACGGGGCTTGACGTCACCTAAAGTTTTCACCCAAACTTCCTCTAGACTCGCCCGCGATAGGTGCCGGCAAAAATCGGTCTGCATTTTTCATGAAATAATAAAGCTCTTCATACAGGAACCCCAAGACAGGGGCCCAAAGGTCCAAAGCTCGAGTCTGACATCCAACATTCTTTCCCGAATTTCAGATCCACATCTCACGTTCGACTTAGCCCCAGTTCCGGTATGCCTTTGTACCCTCTGCAGCAGAAGATGGTTCGTCTATGATATCAAAGTCATCCCCTTCTCGCCACGCTCCCGACATAAAAAATCTTGATGCTGCAGCCCTGTCGCCAATGCGCGCAGCTACGATGCAGAGGCACCAAGCAGTTTCAGTTCCAGTTCTGGGGCGAGGGTTTCCGTGTCCCAGGGAGTGAAGCAAGCATGACTTATAGTCCTCCTTAAGTAGAAAGTAGATTGAATACGGCTTTGGGTATTTCCCATATACCCCATTTTCTATCTACTTAAGGAGGACTAGCATTGCAGGTGGCTACCCAAGCACAGTTGGGGGATTTTCCCTTCGGCAATCTTCTTGTTAAGCCAGACGCACCCCGTGTTTACCCTGCGGCATCCTGAAAACACCCTTAGCCTTCACTGCAGCCCCTGGATTCCCAAGAACAAGCTTTTGAGGGTTCAGGGTTTACGGTTTAATTTCATTGTTGGAGAGTGAAGTAGAGTAATGACAGCCCTCAATAGGTCGACCCACCTGTCATTTATTCCGCCCCACCCCTGCGGTCGGGTCGACACCCTTGCCGAGCCGCATTTTTTTGGTTTTGGAGGCTGCGAACTGCGCTTCAATTCTGTTGGAGCATGTCTTTCTACTTTCCAGAGACGCCCATCTCACAGGCCTTGTACCACGACATCTCTTGATGAAGAAATGCTTCCTGACTCATCGTAAGGACCCGCCAAGTATTCAGCATAATATTCAACGCAAGGTTGGTTCATCGGTTGAGTGCCCTTGTGTTGTTTGAGTGCGTCCTGTCGGAATCGAAACTCTGTGTGGAATTCACGCGGATATCGGTGTGTGACCAGTTCGGAGCCCAGATGGCCTAGGCCCTGAGCAGTCTGGGCAACCCCGGTAGGTCATGCAGTGATGCAGGGACGATGTGGGGAACAATGTTTTGTGGCATGCATGATGGGCTTAAGCGAGTACAGTCATTGCCTGATACTCGAGGAAGACCAAGTGGGGCATACTCTAAGTCTTTAAGTTCGTTTTGTTGGATGTCAAATATCGGTGCACTTTTTTTTTTTTCGCTTCTATCTCGAAGTAGAGTGTGCTGTATTGAGAGTGGAATTCTGTGGGGCTGCCTTGACGCTTTGATGCAGACAGAATCTTGCCCTAGGAGTCCAGGTCCCCCAAAGTCAGACACATCCCCAGATCTTGTGTTATAATCACGAATACCGAAATCCCAAGTATCCAAGCAGTGGGTACATGGACCATTTGGGCTACACGAGTAGATCCTTATCTAAACCATTATAAACCCACTTTCCATTTCATCTTACACATGATTTTCCAATTCGATTCCACAGTATCGGGGCTCTATCCCCAAATCCTGTACACACCCTAGATACACCCTATAGAACCCCTACAGAATTCCTTAATGACCCTATGTACACCCTATGTGCATGCTATGCACTCCCTACAGAATCCCCTAATGACACTGTAGAATCCCTATGGCAGAATTGCTTGCTGCATCCTCGTTGCACGTATATGGTTTGACGCATCCTGAAATCCTACTCTTCTAAGAACAGAGGCTACATAGGGTTTAAGGATATCATCTACCAATAATGGAAAATCAAGTTGAACATGACATAGAAAATTATGTGTGGTTTATACGGAGTAGGGTTTCCAGAATTTAGGGGTCCCTTGTTTGGGATACTGATCAGGGTTGTAGCACATGTTATTTTTACTTCTTCATTTGCGGCACCTGCTTGTGGAAAAGCCCCATGCCAACAATTGAGCTGTTGTCTGGTTGTCTTTGCCCAGGTAAGCTTAAGCAAGGACCGTTGAGCTTTTTGCAGTTTCCATAAAGGGGAATGCCTAGACAATAAACCCTAACACCCTAAAACCTAAGCCTTTGCGGTTCCTCTGCCAGGCCGTTTCGCTCCCACCTGAATCGAGCCCAGTGCAGAACGTGGCGTTAAGTGCCGGGCTCTCGTGGGAGGACTGGTTTGCTCAGGGACTGCAGGTGTGATTGGGTTTTGTTCCAATCAGAGGGTTTCAATGTTCACTGCTGAAGTTTTGGAGAGCGATCTTTGTCGTCTGAGCATCTTTCTTACAAGGACTGCTTCAAGCTAAAACTGCAAGCAAAGTCTTTCAAGCCCATCGGGAATGACATTTGAAGCTTCAACCAAGCCGTTCATCCCGGATCAACGGCTGAGCCTGCATGAGGCTCTCATGTAATGCTTTGATATCACAATGCTTTGCTAAGCGTAGAGACTGTAAGGTTTCTCAGCAATATGGCTTTCCATATAAATGCCACGGCGACTGGTCTTTTGTTTGTGTCAACATGAGGGCAAGGATGGGTCAGATTTCTGACAGCCCGTAGACCGTGGCAACAAGTCACGTGTAGCTGTCTTTTCTGATCACGCGCGAGTTTGAAGAGCAGGCTAGGGATACATCTTAGCACCCCGAACCTTGCACGGAGAAACCACAATGTCTGGAACAAGAAGGTCACCAAGCACAAGAAGTGATGAAAAGGGACGCTAAGTCACTGACCCTTCTCCTGGAATCTGAAAGCCCCAGCCCAACTCTTCAAAGCTGTGCATCCCTTTCCCGGAAGCATCGAGATAGCACCTCAAACCAAGAAGTCGAGAGTGACTTTCTGCAGATACACTTTCATTCCCATCATTGCTGGTGTATGTTTCAGTTCTAGCTGCAGGATACAAGTGAGCAACTGAGCTTTAATTGCTAAATCCTCAACCATGCGCCCTACACCCCAAAGCTTGAAGCCTGAACCCAACATCCATTCTTCTTCTATTTGCGGGTCTTCCCTGCAAAGGCCAAGGCACCTCCAGGAGACAGGCACCTATAGCGCCTAAGCCTGGCTTACCTCGGGATGCCCATGTATCCTGATTTTACAGGTTAGTGTTTAGGGCTTAGGGTCTAGAGTTTAGGGTACAGGTACGCGGGAATGCAGGGTGTAGGTGGGTTCTGCACTGTTGGGTTGACTAAGGAGTGTAAAGTCTTGGAGATTCTTTCTGCGACTGGGCTCGTTTTGTCTGGCTTTTCTCGCATGAGCACGCTGCTATAGAACAGTTTTTGATATGAGACGTGCCCAGACGAGATACTAGATGGTGCCCTGCGCCAATGACAGGTTCTCGATCTAGTTTTGCTGCCCATGTCCGCCTGTACTTCTCTCGCTCCGCAAGGGGGGGAGGGGGCATAGGGGTAGCTTCAGACAAGTGAATTTGAGAGCGGTCCTTTCAGTCGCGTATAAGCTTGGGACACACCCATCTCATGCCTGCAAAGAGGCCATACGGGGGAACACCATCCACTCGTCGGTGCCTGCCCAAGAGCTTTCCTAAGCCTTTTACAGTAATTAATAAGCAATAATGATAACGATAATAACAATCATGATGCTAATAATGATAGTAGTCGTCCTCTTGGTGCCTGCTTGGAGGATCAGAACAGCTATGGTTACAACCCAGATTGTTTTGGGTACTGCCCCCACCTACACCCCCGGGACGAAAGTTTCGAC